AAGCTTTTCATGCCTTCAGTGGCCCCATTGCTTGGGCTTTATTACTTATGTGATGTTATTTAATTAGTTTCATTGACGTTTTGAACCTCGAGCACAAATTACCAAGTTGAAAGTACCAAGATTTATATTTTCTTGATTGGGAAATGTGAATATGGCTTTTTGGTGACTATTGTCTGCATTGGCCAGTGCAACAATACACCAAACATTTTGTATTTCAGTGAAAATGAACAAAGCATTTGTTCTGGCTGCAGTTTGAGCGGTACAAATTTGATCAGAAATAATTAAAAATACATTTTATTAGTTTTCCAGGTAGACCAGTCCAACTTTTCCACACTGAGCCTATTGGCCGATACAAAACAAATCTACAAAAAATGCCTTACTTGCAAAGTCATGTGAAGAGAAACCAAAGAATTTGTCCATCAGAATGAACTCATAAAAGTGTATCGGGGAAACTTCCAGATTATATGTGAGACACATTATATCCACAAACCCCTACGCAGTTGCAGCACATTTACTCTAGCTGTGCTATTCCCACGTTCTGAATCAATATTTAATACATTACATACATTCAAACCCTGTTTAATCATTTCATTGTTGAGCTCTGGATGAATTCTCCAAAGAGCAGAAGGGGTTTCAGTGATTTACATGCGATTGCACATTAGATCTTCACCTCCCCTCGGGGAGTAGGGCTCGCGAGCCCACCCTGAGCCCTGTGCTTGCTAGCAGAGGAGAATGTCACAGAAAGGGTAAACACATCTTTAAGCTGTAATTCCAACTCTCCCTTCGGATGCTGAAGGCCAGAGGCCCTGGCAGTAAGGGGAAGGGATACTGGGTAATGACATCTAGTCTGCTAACAAGGAACAAAACACAATCAGAAGTATTACTGCAAACTGTGTCATAGTTGCTAAGGTGGGCTGTTTTTTAATCTGTGTGTTCAGTCTGAGTATAACTAAGAACTGGAGAGGTTATCTTTATCTTTTCTGCAAATGCATAACAGCTGTGCATGCACATACACTTCTAGTCCTTCTACATCTACAGATTCCGACCAACGAATAAACCCAGAGGAGACAAATCACTTAGACTTTTAACTAAGATATTCAGAAGTAGGACAGAGACGCACACACACACACAAACAGAAGTACACACATGCCAGCAGCGAGCATCTCAGAGTTGTGCATGATGCAAAGTGAGTGCCAGAGCCAAGCTGTAGATGCGTGCTCCATGGATTTTCCACCCCTCTGGTGGTTTTCAAACCAAAACGTTTCAAACTTGCAAATGGAATAGAATGGAGAGAAAAGAAAAAATGTGTTTGTGAGGGCGTACGTGCATGTGAATGCGTGTTTTCACATCCGTGTCAGTGCCAGAAAAGATTCTGTGGGACCAAATCCAGACTCGTGGTGTCATTCTTCCTGAAAGTTACGGGTCAGTTTCAAAGGTTACGGCAGTGGCTGCTCGGCTTTTTCACAAGCGCAGTGAGACTGACCTGAACGGACCCCTCATGTGTTTCCGCACCTCTCTATCGCCGAGATTCACTCCTCATGCTGCCTTTGCTGCTTAGTCCTTGTTCAACAAGCCTTTTGGGTCTCGTGAAACACAGACTTGATTAAACTCCTGCTATTAAAAGCACAACTGTCAACAAAAAGAGAAGAGTATCTGTGTGCATAAGTACATGCAACAAGCTGCCTTAAGGCTCGCAGTTTAGACTGCTGTGAAAATTTGCAATTTTTAGCTCTTTTTGGCCTTTTCTCACACAGTTTGGTTCAGTATCAGAAAAAATAATCAGAGTGCATACAAAATGCAGTTTTCATATAAGAATTTCATTGATTAGGAGACAAAAGCCCTGAGTAAAAATGCAAATGACCCCTAAGCTTGACTAGCTGTATCACCTTTAATGGCAACCACTTCAATCAAGCATTTGTAAGTGCGAGTAATGATTTATTGTTCTGCCACGATGCAGGGTTTTCCATCATAAACGTTCTGTTTAAGGTCAAATCACATGATCCCAATCAGATCAAAGGGAATTAGGCCGTTTTGGCTTGCTTTTAGCATCCCCTAGTGTTCGTTTGTGGAACTGAAAGCAAAACCTCCTCGCTGTGCATTCGTCTCTTCACACCTTAATCTAACAGCTGAAATGTCTTCCAGATTTCCTTAGCGTCTACAGGAGTGATTCATCACTAAATTAAACAAATCAGCTGTGTTCATGATCTAAAACATGCAGGAAGCAGACTGCAGTGCCAGGTGTGTCAGCTCAATTCCCAACAGTAAAGTCCCAACAGACTGGACTGGAAACGGTGAGGCTGCAAGTGGAATATTCTCACCACAGAGGGCGACAGAGGCTAGGTGGCATTTCATTAACCCAGTAAAGGGTCATTTTAGAACATACTGGCTCAAGAAAATTATTTAAAATATGAAAAAGTTGCGAAGTATACCTTTACGTCCAGAGATTGATTGGGTCACTTAAAGTTCCTCAGACCTGCTGCAGGTCATCATCCTTCTGCAAAAACCCAAAGCAGTGGTACTCAGTTCCGTGCCTGGAGTGCCGGTAGCACTCTATTTCAACACACCTGATTTCAATCAGCAGGTGATTAACAGGCTTCTGCAGAGCCTGATGAGCTGCAGCACAGGTGATTCAACCACTGAATCAAGTGTGTTGGTGCAGAGAAACCACTAAAACATGCTGGATACCGGTCCTCCAGGACCAGGATTGAGAACCACTGTCCTAAAGTGTATTTCAGCAGCAAACTGATGATCGGACATTCTCCTACAAGATTTAAATTGATGACTTCTGATCTTGAAATGGTACTTTACTTGTACTTTTAATACATTTTTAGTAGTCTTTAGTAGGAATGAATGCCTTGTAAGTCACACCCAGAGGGTGCACCATTTTCAGGAACTAGAAATAAGCCAGATCAGAACTAAACTTTAGACAACAGGATTTGGGAGTCTTATTTCCTGATATTTGGACATCTTGCCACTGATTGACTAACATCAACCACTGAATCTCTTTGATTTGCAACGTTAATGTTTTATCTCTACAAATAACGCAAGCCTGAAGGAGTTCTGCTGTGTGGTGGAGTTGCTAATGCTAACAGTCAGCTTCTACTAGTAGAGACATTCTCTGCTGTTTCCTGGATGCTAAACCAACAACAGCCTTCTCCACTGTGAATCAAGATGGGTGAGTCCATAAGTGACAGTGTGACGTAGATCTCTTTCACCGTCTATTTTCTATCAAAAGCTAATGCAGGAAATAGGTGTAGGAGATATTCAGCATGCATTAAAAACTCAGATTACAACCAGAAATAATAATGAAAAAGGGTTTTTCAGTGAAGTACCACTTTGAATGAAAGTAAGTGAGATCTGCAGTGCTCTAAATGTTTTTATTCATTTTATTAATCTTGAATTACTTCAGAACAAGAGATTATGTGCTTTTTTTGGATATGTTAGCATATTTCATGTTGCCAGATGGGTTCTATTTAAGTCATTTTAAATTTTGAGGGATCTGGCTCTAACGAGACATGGCAGGCATGTGGAACTGAACTCAGCTTTGCATGTAATGCTGTTAATCACAATTAATCCATGACCTAAGAAGGTGGGTATTTACTTTTCATAAATTCAAAGCTCATTATGGCATGCTTAATGAATTTTTACCACTCAGTGGAGTTGTGTGTTTAGGTACAATTATAGAGTGGTGTAGAAAAGAGAACAATGCATTACTTAGTCCACACTACACAGATAAACAGTTTTCCCTGAACTTCCAGTGACACACAGATAAATAATTTATGGATTTATTGTTTTTGTTTTGTTCTTTCATTAAAAAGTCATTAGAGCACACATGTGCACTCATAAATACACATTAGGAAGACAGCTTTCATCATTAATCCTGAATACATTCTGTTGGTATTATTACTTCCCAGGGTAAATCAACAAATCGGGCTAAACCTGGTGGTATGTTTGGAGACTTGGAGCGGTATCAAATGCATTTTGGGTTTCTGAAAGAAGTTGCAGATGGCATTCTGATCAATTAATGCATTCTAGAGTAAAATGCTGTGTGTATAAACAAAAAGAGAAAAGCTGGTGTAACAATATTATCTCAATCACATGCATACTATCTTATTTTGTAATGTTTGTTTCTGATTATAATCAGTCAATCAGAGGTTTTCATGCAGGCTGAACATGAAAATAGTCTCCTACACCTTTCTCCGGCATTAGCTTCTGATAGAAAACAGACGGTGAAACTCTAGGATTAGAAAAGCCTGGCAGACCTACGTCACACTGTCACTTAACATTCATGGACTCAATCATCCGGGAAAAGCTGGTTTAACGTCCAGGAAAACAGCAGAGAACGTCTCGGCTAGTAGGAGCTAATCGTTAGCATTAGCAACTCCACCACATAGCAGAACTCCTTCAGGCTTGTGTTATTTGCGATGACAAAACATCAGTGTTCCAGAGCAAATGGAGTCAGTGGTAGAGTCACATTGCTGTTATCCAATCAGAGGCGAGATGTCCAAATATCAGGAAATTAGACTCCAAACCCTGTCGTGTCGTGCCACTCTCTGCCGCAGCAGACTTGTCTGTGCTCATCCAAAAGTTTCTGCACATTTTTTGCCACGTGAACAGCTCACACGGCATTCATTCCTACCAGAGATCCCTGCAAATGTATTGATTAAGCGAGCAAACCATACCTTTAAATTTTAAGGTGTGATGGAGAATGGAGAAACTGTAGCAGGAAAAAAAGTCACACAGGTATTTAAAGGTGGAACAAGCTCCTTTTCAGAATGTCTTTTTAATTCTACAATAATTAGAAAGAGACAGATTGACAATATATTCATTTTATAGTCCTAAAATTGACCATTTGCTGGAGGAAGAAGAGGTTTGATTACTTAAAAATAACAGACTCTGTTTGTAGGAAAAAATCAATTAATGCTGGCCATTAAACAGTAAAGGGTAGGAACAAATAGCCTAATTTAATGCTTTAAGATCACACTAATACTTTGCTGTACCTGTCTGGGTGTCCTCTCTGATTTACTCCGGCACCACTCCCAGTCCGTCAGCTCGATTTTCCGACATTCCTCATGCGACAGCCTCCTCTCTGGCCCTTCAAACACTGATGATGAGTCGTTGAGACTGTGATCCTGTTCCCGGTGATGGGGAGGCAGTGAAGGGATGCTGGGAAACTCTTTGTCGGTCTTGTGGTTCTCGTGAGGAAGCGGGGGACAATCAGCCAGCACCTCCCCTCCACTGGTCTCTAAAACAAGGCCTGCGTGTGAGGAGCTGTCCACCGGGGGAGAGGTGCTGAAATCAAAGATGGGACTAATCCTGGAGAACCCACCACTTTCCAGTGCATCAAGCCGTGGGTTTGAGAAGTCACAGTTGAAAAGGCTGTGGTAAGCGGGATTTTCTACAGGATGGCTGCGGTGGGACTTTGTGGCGTGTGACAACTTGTAGACTCCATAGCCTTGTTGGAAGGAGAGGTTGAACTCAAACTTTCTTTTCATCGCTGCGGACCAGACAAATTATTTTAATATCGTTCTTACCAATAACATTTCAAAAGAGCTTTTCGTACATTTTTTTCATGGAGAAATCCATTCTTGGTTCTATCAAACCTGACCGTGTGTTAGGAAATGACTTTAAATCTACCTGAGGGTTCCTGTGTTGCATCCCGTTTGCAGTTAATGAAGCAGCCACATGGCATGTGGATCCAGCGCTCCGACAGCACAAACAGGGGAGTGACCGCAGGTGCAAGCAGAGTGAGGAAGAAGCTCAGGGTCTCCAGGGAGGAGCTGCGTGCGTTTACTGCATGCCGTATGAGCACCAATGTCTGTGAGCGAAAGGGAAGAGGAAATTAGTTCACTCGGGGAGTCAGCTATTCAAAATGCATGAGGAAGTGGAGCAAGGAGACGTGAATGAGAAGAAAATTTACACAAGATGGAGTTTCTTTCATTTGAAGTTTCTTTTGTTTTAAAATCCAATTCTTCACTACAAAAATGTCACATTGTTGAGCCACTTTTACAATAGCTTGCATTCGCTGTGACATTTTTGCAACATGCATTTCCCTCCAGAGCTGCAAGAGTTGTTCCTCCAGGGTATTTTACAGAAGAAAAAAAAACTGGTGCAGAATTCTCCCTTCAGAATAAGTCTGAACATTATTGTGACCTTTGCATGTATGAAAATGAAGCCTTGTGCTCCTTTTCTGGGACTATAAACACTCAAATCCCACCATTAGGATAGTGATACGTGTTCACAAGTACATTGATAATCATATGTAATCGATTTGGAAGAAAACAGAGCAGAACCTTGACCTGCAGCTGATTCAGACCAGATCATAATGCTGCTACCACAGGCTGGTAGGGCCAGCACGAAGCATGGTGGGTGCATCATTTTCTCCAGTTACACACCAAATAACCTTCTTTCATTTACTAACAGCCCAATTTTTATTCTCCAAAGATAATTAGGACTACACGGCTGTTCTGTCTCAACACCTTTAGTTAAGTACAAAACACTCAGACTTTAATAATCTGTGTTTTTCTCCTTTTGATCATTTTATGTGATGTCACCAAATATTGAAAGTTTATTTTTCACATTTATTCCCCAAACACCAGTCTGCGGCCTTGAGGAGGTTTGAAAGAATAAAAGCAAAATGGGTTTTTTGCATTCTTTAAATGATTCAGGAATAGTTTCAGATTTGTTTACTTGATGTAGACAGTTTGACCCTTCTGAGAAGAAAATGACATCTTTTCATCTACAAAAAAAATACAGACAGAACACTTTTAAAAAAATGAGAAGCTTCTCACTGCATCTATATTTTGGTTAAATAACTTTTTGGCAGCTCTGAATTTTTAATTATTGAACTTGGTTTCCAGTGAGAAGCTCTTTGTTTTGCTAAATTTATCCCAGCCGATTCCCAACTCTATTTCCCGCAACAAAATATACACTTAATGGGAAAAGTAAAACAATCTTTTGCTAACAACTGCCTGTCCAAAAATAAAAACACCACCTGAATTTAACTGAGGAAACAGGTAGGAGCCTCCTATTGGATAAATGGGTGATTATCTTTCAGCTGGCAACAAGTTATTTAACCCAACCGGTGCAATGAGTTGCTTCTCACTTCTTAAACAACCGTGCGGAAAGACACATCTGGTGGTTGTGGAAAAGATGTTCGTCTGTTTGAGAAGGGTCTGGTCATTGGCATCAAGCAGAGAAAACATCTAAGGAGATTGCTGAAAGGACTAAAACTGGGTGAAGAACTTCCTACTCCGTTTAACCGCGGGCAGCAGAGGACGTTGTCGCCCTCTGCTGCCCGCTCTCTCCTCTCCGATGATGCAGTCCCATGCACGATCCGATGACTAAACTCCATCGTCTCTGTTCATGGTCCCACAGCCACGTCTCCTTATCTTGATAGCTTCTTTTATCCATCTTTTGTATTTCTGGTGTTCGGTGTTTAAGATCCTTGTGTTGTCCCAGTCCATTACGTGGTTTTCTCTTATGCAGTGATCTGTTACGGCTGACTTCTTTATTGTGCTTTCTGCTTCTTGTTTCGCTGCTCTTGTGTGTTTTTGACTTGTTTCTTTCTCGCACTCCTTTCTATGTTCTATTGTTCGTGTGTTGAGTTGGCGTCCGGTTTCTCCTACGTATGTTTTATTGCAGAGTTTGCATGGGATTTCATAAACGACTCCACATTTAAGTCCAGCTGGTATCTTATCTTTTGGGTGTACTAGTCTGTTTCTAACTGTTGTGTATGGTTTTGTTGGTGTGTTTATGTTGTGTTTTTTCATTGTTGCTCTAATTTTTTCTGTTATGCCTCTGATGTATGGTGAGGCTATCACTGGTTTTGGTTCTTGTCTTTCTGGGTTGCTGGTTGTTTGCTTGGGTTGTTCTTTTCTTTCTGTTGTTGTTTGTTGTTTTCCTTTGTTTATCGCCCATGTCGGGTATCCACAGGTCTTTAAAGCGTGTTGTATGTGTTTGTCCTCTTGTTTACGGTCTCTTTCTTCTGTTACCATGTTTGCTCGGTGATATAATGTTCTGATTACTGACATTTTGTGTATGGTGGGGTGTTCTGATGTCAATAATAGATATTGGTCGGTGTGTGTTGGTTTCCTGTATGTGTTTATGTTTAGGGTCCCGTCGGTCTGCCTGGTTATTTTCATGTCCATAAAAGCTATGCTGCCTTCTGTTTCTGTCTCATATGTGAATTTTATGTTGCCCGTGTCGTCAATGTTGTTTAAGTGTTGTGTTAATGTTTCTGTTTGTCCTTTTGGTATGATTTCCAGTATGTCGTCTACGTAGCGTTTCCATAGTTTTATTTTACCGTTTAGGGATTGGGGGGGGGGGGGGGCAGTGGCTATGGCTTTTTGTTCTAGGTCTTCCATGAAAAACTCACACAGGGTGGCTGATGACGGGTTACCCATGGCGAAGCCTTCCAGTTGTTTGTATATTGTGTTATCGTATGTGAAGTAAGTGGAGTTAGCTACCAGTCCTGTCAGTTGTGCTATGTCGTCTGCTGTGAGGTTTGTTTTTTTTGTGTAAAGTTTTGTCCTGTCTGATTCTGTTAACTACTATGTCTATGGTTTTTTGGGTTGGTGTTTTTGTGAGCAGGGATGTGACGTCATGTGAGATATGTCGTCATCTTCTATTGCATTTTTGCAATGTTGATCTGTGTTACCTACTAAAGGACTAATGATTTTGCTGATTTCTTTTACCATGTTGTATTTAGGGTTGGGCACCGAGAATCGAGTATCAATTGGAACCGGTTCCAACTGTTCATTTTCCCTGGAATCGCTCAACGTTTTTTATTTCGATTCCTAGTTTCAATTCCTAGTGTGCCAACGGAAGAGGAATCCGCGGCCGATCTCTGTGAAAAAAAAAAAAACGTGATCTGCAAATTGTGATCAACGCTTTTCAGAGCTGATCACACCAGCTGTCTGTCCGCAGCTGTGGTCAGAAACAAACACACTGGCTGTGCTGCAAGTCTTTTTCTTTTTTCTTTCTTTCTCCAAAACATGTTTTTGTCTAAATGAAGGTGGTGTTGTTGTTCATAGAATTAAAATTCATGTTGAAGTTAAGATTATTTCATCAAGTAGGACCTGTGGTTAGCTGGCTCATGTAAAACATGTCACGACTTCAAAGAATCGGAATCAGGAATCGATAAGAACCGGAATCGAAACGGGGAATTGGAATCAGAATTGTTCAAAATCAAGCGATGCCCAACCCTAAGTTGGTGTACCTATACTGTCAACTATTGGTCTAAGTGGGGTGTTTTGTTTGTGTATTTTTGGAGTTCCATATATTCTTGGTATAATGTTTGCTGTAGGAATCCAGTTTGTACATATTTTCTGTTATTTTGCCTTTTTTTGTAGTGGCTTCAGTAATTTTTTCATGTTTTTCTTAATGTTTTCTGTTGGGTCTTTTTTAAGTATTTTGTATGTATTTTCGTCCTCTAGCATCTGTTTCATCTGTTGTTTATATTTTTCTCTGTCCATAACTACTGTGGTTCTTCCTTTGTCTACCGGTCGAATAATTAGCTGTTCATTTTTGGATAAAGCTGTAATGGCTGATTGTTCTTCTTTTGTAATATTGCTGTGTTGAATTTGGCTGTTTTTTAATATCCCAACTACGTTATTTCCGAGTTCTGCTTTCTTTCCCTCATCTGTGATCTGTTGACATGCTAGTTCTGTTGCTACGATGAATTCATCATATGGTATTTCCTTTGGTGTGACTGCAAAGTTTAAACCTTTCTTTAATATGCTTTCTTCTGCTTCTGTTAGTTGGTATTGTGAAAGGTTACGTACCCATGAGCTTTGTGTGGTGTTATCTTGTATTTCTTTTCTCTTTTTCTTTTTGATAAGTTTGTTTAACTTCTTTATGTGTCTTTCTTTTACCTTTGTGAACTCTTTTTCCTGTTTTTCCATCATGTGCCCTTGAATTTGTTCCTCCACTTTTTCATCAAGTTTGTAATTCCTTTTTAAGTCCATGTGTCTTCTTTCCAGTTCGTTATCCACTTGCTTCTGTTTGGTTGCGACGTTTCTTATCCTTTCTTTGAGTAGTGCTTTCTGTGTTCTTTCCAGTATGTTCCGTGCTGTCTTGGTCTGGATCGGTGTTTTCAGCTGTAGGCTTGTTGGTGTGATGTTTTCGTCCCGGCATCTTAAATAGAAACGAAGGTGGTTCCTAAGACGTACGCGTTTTTGGTGTAAACATTCCAAACGGCGGAAGTCCTTTGTTCCTTGTGGTCCGTATTTTTCGTACGTTCTTGCTGTGTTTGTCTTCAAATTCCGTTTTTGGTTCTTTTTTAAACACAGATAAGGTTTTTTCTTTACCTTACTTACGTTTCGTTTGCAGCTGCAAACATTCTCACAGCTGACGCCGATGGTGGCGTCACTTCCTACTCCGTTTATCCAAAGAATAAGAGGAGAGAGCGGGCAGCAGAGGGCGACAACGTCCTCTGCTGCCCGCGGATAATGGAGTAGGAAGTGGCGCCACCATCGGCGTCAGCTCTGAGGATGTTTGCAGCTGCAAACGAAACGTAAGTAAGGTAAAGAAAAACCTTATTTGTGTTTAAAAAAGAACCAAAAATGAATTTGAAGACAAACACAGCAAGAACGTACAAAAGATGGGTGAAGAACTGTCCAACGCTTTATTAAAACTGGTCTGATGAGTCCAGATGGACCCTGTTCCAGAGTGATGGTGCATCAGGGTAAGAAGAGAGGCAGATTAATGGGCCATTCCCATCTGTACCGGGTCGGCCCGGGCTGGATAGCGTAGGTTGTTTACATATCTGGGTGGCCTGGTATTTTTCCGGGCCAACCAAGGCTCATTTTCAGCCCTCTTCTCGAGCGGGTCTGCTTCAGGCCGACCAGGGCCAACACACCCACTGCTGACAGCAAATTCACACCTTCCATTAGAGCAAGCCTCTGATTGGTGGGTAGAATCAGCCCACATGGGCTTAAGACAAGGATGTGTGGAATCAACCGGGCCAGGCTGGGGCCGGCTGGGGCTACCCGGCCCGGGCCGACCCGGTACAGATGGGAATGGCCCATATGTGATGCACCCATCGTGCGTTCCTACTGTACAAGCCTGTGGGGGCAGTGTTATGATCTGGGATTGCTGCAGTTGGTCAGGTCTGGGTTCAGCAACAGGACGAGCTCCAAGAATGAGGTCAGCTGACTACCTGAATATACTGACTGACCAGGTTATTCCATCTATGATGGCACGGGCATATTCCAAGATGACAATGCCAGGATTCATCAGGCTCAAATAGTGAAAGAGTGGTTCAGGGAGCATGAGACATCATTTTCAGTCCAGACCTTAACCCTATTGAGAATCTTTGGGATGTGCTGGAGAAGGCTTTGTGCAGCGGTCAGACCCTACCATCATCAATGCAAGATCTTGGTGAAACATGAACGCAACACTGGATGGAAATAAATCTTGTGGCATTACAGAAGCTTATCGGAACAAAGCCACAGCAAATGTGTGTCATAATCAAAATTTTATAGCTATGCAAAAATAAATAAATAAATAAATAAATAAATAAATAAAGAATATTTAGCTGAGACTGAACTTCAAAACCATAAAACGTTCATTTCTTTCAACAGAATGTTGCTCTGAGTAATGTTTCTGTTGCTGGTTCATGTGTTCAGACTGCGTTTATCAAGTTTATTACTTTATTTCCTCAGTATGATCAAGTGTGTGTGAATGTGTGTGTGTGTGTGTGTGTGTGTGTGTGTGTGTGTGTGTGTGTGTGTGTGTGTGTGTGTGTGTGTGTGTGTGTGTTTTACTTCACAATGTACCCTAATGAATGATGCCCTGCGGTCTTCATTAAGACCTACAGACTGCTGTTCTCAGGTCCTTCAGGGAATGCTAATTTGAAACAATAGTGAGGCATTATTAAAAGGTTGTTTTTTATTATGGTGTTTAATGCATTTAATAAACAAGAAGATAATCCCTGGAAATTTCACTGTACTGGCATCAAGGGACATCGAATTCTTTTTCATTCATTAATTCGCCGCCCATGAGGTCTCATTGTTTCAGTTTTATTCTGAGAAGAAACAGAACACTTCATCAGCAGATCTCTTGTTCATGAGGAGAAAATGAAATAGTTTTTTTCTCTTTTGTTATGATGAACATTTGTTTTCGGGTGTTTTTCTGATTCTTTTGGCTGCTCCTTTGTGGATGGTGCATCCAAAAACCCTTCATGACCATTCTGGGTTTACAACAGAGCAGCTCTCCTTCCTGAGGATGTTAAAACCCTAAAGTTGGTTTTATTTTAAGAATTAAATTCATATTTGGTCAGTTTGAATCAAACAACACTTGTAATTCAGAAAAAAAACGTAAAATATTTGATATAATTTTGTGTGAGTTATTTTATTCTTGGCATTCATGGGACTCCGTAAGGCTGCTTACCATCATTGGCATCCATAAAATGATCCGAACCACCGCCAGAATCATGGAGAAGCGCTTCTGCGCAAACACCACCGGCGTGTCTCCAACAGCAGCTGTCCTCTGTCCGCTGACGGACACCGGGGACACACAGCTGTCTCTGATCTCTGTCCCGCACGAACTCGGGCTCAGCTCGTTGTACGCGCCCAAACTTTTATCCAGGCTGTCCCGAGAAAACGACGGAAGGTCACAGAGAGGCGCAGAGCCGCTCAGTCCCCGGGACATGTCCAAGTAGCTCGGGTACAGCAACGTCCTCTGGGGCTCTCTGGAGCACAGCAGCTGATACGTGAGTGGGATGAAGAAACCCAGCAATCCACAGAAGCACAGGAAATAAAGCGAGAAGAGCAGCAGGATGTAAAAACCGTTGCTTTCGGGGAAGCAGCCGAGAGAGGCGGGCGTAAAGCTGCCCCATCCGCACAGAGGCAACACGCTGACGGCCAGGCTCACCGCCCACACGCCGCCGACAGCCCACATCACCCTGAGGGGCCGGCGGACAGACTGGAGCACCCCGAACCTCTTGGTGACATAAAAAGTGTACGCTGCTATGAGGCAAGCCTTCATGTTGCTGGAAACCCCCTGGAACACGTACAGAAGTCCGGACAAAGTGCACAGGAGGCCCGACCCTTCACCTGCGCGCGTCTCCCACTGGAGGAGCAGGAAGAGGGAGAGAGGCACCACGCTGAGCAGGTCATCCACGGACATGGAAGCCACGATCAAACACAGAGACGTCTTTCTCCTCATCCGGAGAAGAGAAAGCAGCGAATACACGCCTCCGACAAAGGTCGCGGCGGCGATGGTTACGCACAAGCCGAACAGCAGGAGGCGGATCTGCCTCTCCATCTCGGTGGGGTCTGATGTGTCAGAGCCGTCCGTGAACAGATCGCTCTGGTTAGGCGCCGGGGAGCCGCGGTGCCTCGTTGGCATCCTCGTTAAACGGAGCCGTGTGTCTTTCTGCACTTGTGATCGGTCAAATTAGGCTCAGCTGCTGGGAAAGTTCCTCCAAATACTGCGCGTGAATGCGCGCCTCATTAAAAAGCAGATTGGTGAGAGACTTTAAAAAGCGCGTCCTGCGTTGATCCATCTAACGCACGGAGCTGCGGGGTCTTCTGGATGTGGAAGCGGCTGGCTGGTGCCGTGTGGGCTGGCAGGCACTTGTGTTCGCCGCTCAAACAGCGTAACCGGAGCGTCTCCCGTCTCCAGCAGCCGGTTTACGCGCTGTCGTCATCACCGTTTGCCTCTCACAGCAGTCATGACGGGAAGGAGGTTGAGCCAAACGCAGCCCACTAGCGTTTCTGTCTGCATGGAAGTGGTCCAACTCAGCGCACCAGGAGTCTTCATGCAGTTCAAACACCAATTCTCTACAACGAGGAACGTTTTTAAGGTGGATTTGAAACAAACGGTTGAAATATAATATTAAACTAATCAATTAAAATGTTAAAAATCATACACAAGGGGTACGCAATCCTTGTCCTCCAGTGCTGCCATCCAGCATGTTTTAGTGGTTTCCCTGCTCCAGCACACATGCTTTCATTCAGTTGGTTCTGGCTTCTGTAGAGCATGAACACCTGGTAAACAGGTGATGTAACACTTTGTGGCAAGGTTGTGAAACCCAGGCAGGATTTGATCCCCAGACTCCCGGGTGAGAGTCACGTGCACTAACCAGTCAGCCAAAGGGGCATCTCTGTGGCCAAGTAGTCATAGTGCATGACCAATCGGGATACAGTGACATGATACTTACCCTGTCACGCACTGAATTAGGTGTTTTGGAGCAGGGAAACAATTAAAACATGCTGAATAGCGGGCACTCAAGGACCAGGATTGCCTACCACATATGGAATTTAGTTTGGCAAACAGCATGGGTCCCAACTGCTTTTATCCATGGTTTCCACGGTAACCCCACAGAGCCATCATGGAAACCGTGGAAAACCTGTTTAATAATAATAATAATAATAATAATAATAATAATAATAATAATAATAATAATGCATTGAACTTATATAGCGCTTTTCAAGACACCCAAAGACGCTTTCACACACTCTCACGTTCACACACTGCCAGTGATGGTAAGCTACTTGTAGCCACAGCCGCCCTGGGGAGGTCTGACAGAGGCGAGGCTGCCATTTGGCGCCGTCAGCCCCTCTGACCACCACTAACACAAGCAAGTTGGGTGAAGTGTCTTGCCCAAGGACACAACAGCAGGATACCCCTGGCGGGAGCTGGAATCGAACCCATGACCATGAGGCAACCCGCTCTACCACCTGAGCTACTGCTGCCCCATGTTGTTTGCTCAAATATATCCCGTAAGGGACTCACCCATGCTCAACCTTTCAACTAACTGGAATAATGAACTGAACTCAATGCATAAGTAGGTTCAATTGGAATGTTTTCTTTGAGAATCGCCTTAAGACGACTGTGATTTGGAGTTATAGAAATAAATTGGACGGAATTGAATTGACACCAGGACCGAGAAACTAGTGACTACTCATAGCTCCATTATGTACACCAGTTTGATTGCTTCTTTACAGCCAGTCACATGGCAAAATTCAAATTCAAATTTTATTTGTCACATACACAGTATGAAATGCAGTGAAATGCCTTACACAACTGCTCGTGACCTAAGAGTTGAAAATAAAATAACTGCACACCACAAATTAGAATGAAGGGTAAATTTAACTGGGAAAGAGTAAGGTAAAATATATCTGAACTAAAGTTGAATAATAGAATAGATTTACAACACAATACACAATACAATACAAATTAGAATAAAAGGTAAATTCCCAGCGCGTCAAAAACAAATATTTGGTCAGCCACCCTCCACGTCAGACCCCTGATGCCAAAAGTGCCCTTTTTCGTTACTTATGTGCGAAAAGGGGTTTTCCCCTCATTTGACTGCAGATCCCAATGCAGCGTAAAACTGACGTGATGGGATGTCCGCAGCCAGGGCACCAAACAAGCTCATTGTACCTCACTTTCACCTTATCCTCTTATTTAACCTTCCCCTCACCCCTATCTTAACCTTAACCATCTTGCTAGTGAACACGTTAGTGATGTGTTGATCGCTCTAAAAGCCGGCTCTATGACGTGAACGGCGGGAGCCGCCTCGTGATTGGTCGAGTTTGGACCGAGCCAACGTGAGAGGGAGGTTTCAACTACCACGGTGGAGGTTAAAAGCAGAGGGTATGTGTAACCTCCCCCTCGCCAGATGGTATGTTCTAACGTTCCCCTTGGGCGGCAAATACGAAAATTGACAGTCAGACTCTGACTGTCAGAGTCAGAATGCATGGGAAACAAACGCTTGATCACAGTGAGAGTAACGTTTTAGGTAGCAAGAGGGTTAAGGTTAGGATGAGGGAGAGGGGAAGGTTATAAATAGTGAAACGTTAAGGTTTAGGTGCGGTTAAATGAGCTTCTGTGCCGCATCAGCGGATATCTAATCACGTCAGTTTTACACTGCATTGGGATCTGCAGTTACAAAAGGGGAAAATCCCTTTTCGCACATAAGTAACGAAAAAGGGCACTTTTGGCGTCTGGGGTCTGACGTGGAGGGTGGCTGACCAAGCTTTTGTTTCCGACGCTTAGGGTGTGAGAATGTGTTGTAAATTTAGCTGGGAATGAATAAGATAAAATATATATAAGTTGAAGTTGAGAATAAAGTAACTGTACAACAAAATACACAGTATGTAAATGCATAAGAATGTATGAAGAAATAAAAATATCTATACAAAACAGCAGCTGAACAAGTATTTAATGGAAATGAATATATATATATATATGTATAATGTCCAGAGTTGTGCAAACCACATTTTAGTGATTTTGTAGTGCAACTATGCTGTTCGGTGTGTGTGAGAACCATATGTGTGTGCACTTACTATGTGGTGGTGTGGTTTAAAGATCGTATCGCCTGCAGGAAGAAACTCCTCCTCAGCCTCTCTGTGTTGGTCTTCAGGGAGTGGAATCGCTTTCATGACCTCAACAGAGAGAACAGTCTGTTATTTGGATGGCTGAGGTCCTTCACGATCTTCCTGGCCTTGGTCCAGCACCGCCTGCTGTAGATTGAGTACAGGTCAGGGAGCTCGGAGCGGATGGTGCGCTCAGCTGATCGTATAATCCTCTGTAGAGCTCGTCTGTCCTGCATGGTGCTGTTCCCGAACCAGGTTATGATGTTCCCCGTCAGGATGCTCTCTATGGTCTACAAGTAGAAGTTCCTGAGCACCCTGTGGGGCAGTAGGAAGTCTCTCAAGCGTCTGAGGTAGTAGAGACGCTGCCGGGCCTGTTTCACCACGGTGTTGATGTGACAGGTCCTGCATGATGTGAACACCGAGGTATTTGAAGCTGCTCACTCTCTCCACTGGGCACTCGTTGATGACGGGGATCTGGTAGTTCCTCTCCTGCTTTGTACTGAAGTCCACTATCAACTCCTTCGTTTTGCTGACGTTTAGAAGGAGGTTGTTCCTCTTGCACCAGGTCTCCAGGTTCCTGACCTCCTTTAAGTAGGCCGCCTCGTTGTTGTCAGAGATCAGGCCCACCACGACGGTATCGTCAGCAAACTTAATGATGGTGGTGGAGCTGGCACTGGCCACACAGTCGTATGTGTACAAAGAGTACAGCAGGGGGCTTAGAACACACCCCTGGGGGGCTCCAGTGCTGAGAGTGGTGGTGGCTGAGACATGTCCACCCATCCTTACTGCCTGTGGTCTGCCAGTTAGGAAGTTGGAGATCAACTGGCACATAGATGAGCTCAGTCCCAGGTGCTCCAGTTTGGTGGTGAGTGTGGAGGGAATTATGGTATTAAATGCAGAGCTGTAGTCGATGAAGAACATTTTAACATAATTTCCCCTTCTAGTGTACAAGTGAGTGAGTGATGTGTGGAGGAGATGACAGATGGCATCGTCTATAGAACGATTTGGACGGTAAGCGAACTGTAGTGGGTCCAGTGTGTTTGGTAGTGAAGAAATGATGAAGTCTCTGACCAGGCGTTCAAAGCACTTCATCACTACTGAGGTGAGGGCTACGGGGCGAAAGTCATTGAGAGAAGCATGGTGGGGTTTCTTCGGGACAGGAACAATGATGGACTCCTTGAAGCATGTGGGGATCACCGACTGAGATAACGAGATGTTGAATATCTCGGTGAACACAGGAGCTAGCTGGTCTCTGAGGATATGACCTGGGATGCCTGCTGCTTTCCTGGTGTTCACGCTCTTGAAGGCACTCACCACATCGTGTTCGGAGATGACGAGCATGTTTCCGGTGCTGGCAGTATCTTCCTGTCTGCAGCCGTTAGAGCCGCTAGCGCTAGCATCGTTGGAGTCCTTAGCTGCAGCCTCGAAGCAAGCATGGAAAGTGTTCAGCTTGTCTGCCAGAGTCGCGTCCGCGTTCGTCATACCGGTTGTTGGTGCTTTATAATCCGTTATTGTCCTCAGTCCCCGCCACAGGCTTCTAGAGTCACTCTGTTTGAGTTGTGACTCTAGTTTCCTCCCGTAGTGCTGCTTCACCTCTTTTACCGCCTTCCGCACGTCATATGACGCGGCTTTGTACGGGTTCATGTCCCCCGTTGCGAGTCCCGTGTTTTAGGCAGCGGTGTGGGATCTCAGAGCTTCACGGATGGTTTTATCCACCCACGGCTTCTGGTTGGGAAACGTAGTGATAGTCCTTGTCTCCACGGTATCATCCGCTAGTTTCCCGATGAATCCCACAACCGCTTCCGTAAACACGTTGAGGTCATTATCGCAGCTGTTTCTGAACATGTCCCAGTCTGCGTCGTCGAGTGCGTCCTGTAATGCAGCCACCGATTGGTCCGTCCAGCGCGCGACCTTCATCTGAACCGGAACTTCCTGTTTCAGCCTTTGTTTGTATTTTGGCATGAGGAAGATCGCGGCAGGCGAAGGGCGAGATTGTGCCTTGTAGCCGCCATTGACCGTAGCGTAGCAGTGGTCCAGTGTCCTTTCACCTCTGGTGGGGCAGGTGATATGTTGATGAAAGTTCGGCGCTGCACGTTTGAGGTTGGCACCGTTGAAGTCCCCCGTCACAATAAGCGCGGCATCCCGGTGTTGTATCTGGTGCTGGGTGAGAGCCTCATGCAGCTCGCATAAGGCAGAGTCCTTGTCCGCTTGTGGTGGTATATAAACGGCACTTATAATGACCGATGTAAACTCCCGAGGTAGATAAAAAGGACGACACATGATGGACAGTAGTTCCAGATTTGGTGTGCAGGAGCGTGTCAAAGGAACAACGTTCGCACTGTTGCACCAATTGTTGTTCACCATTAAACACATGCCACCTCCCCTTGACTTCCCCGAGTCCTGTGTCCTGTCCATGCGGTGAACCGGGAAGAACTCGGCCGGCTGGATGGCGTAGTCCGGCACCGCTGGGGTAAGCCATGTCTCAATGAAGCAGAGGAGATTGCAGTCCCGAATGTCTCTCTGGAACTTTCTCCTGGCCCTGAGGTCATACCTAATGTACCCAATGGTGATTCATTTAACGATTTAAGAACTCTAAAACAAACTTTGAAAAAACCAAAACAAACAAAGAGGTGGTCGGAGCAATCGTGACGGCAGCCGACCTCACTGCACCATCTTGGAACCATCTCTTGGAACCAACTAGGCAGCAACTCAATGCATTTAGGCACAAAGAAGAGTCGCTTCAGCTTAAAAGGAGCATTAGAAGAAAAGAGATTTACAACTAGGCTGCACAGTGACGCAGTGGTTAGCGCTGTTGCCTTGCAGCAAGAAGGTCCTGGGTTCACATCTCAGCCTGGGATCTTTCTG